AAAAAAAAAAAAAAAAACTAACACACATACATACACATGATGTCCTAGCTGTTGTTTGGGGCTGTGTGCATGTGAACCATCGTGCTTAAGAAAGTGCATATTTTCAGTGGAGACGATATTATAGAATGAAAACCCACGGAAGACTGGTGAGCCGCTATGGGTGGCCACGCTCTGCACGAGATTTAGCAGTTCAGGATCTTCCCTGCTCTAAATGATTTAAATTCTTTTCGAGCTAAACAGGTATGAGACAACAAGCACAACGAAATGAGTTGAAACCTAAGAACACTCTTATACTTTGCCCCTAACGGATAACGGAGAGCCCACTGGAGGTGAACGTGTGCAGTGACTGAGCACAGTGAAAATGGAAGGAGAAACGTTCCGTGGCCGTTTGACAACTTTGCAGGTGCAATGATTCCATCACTGAAATTAGTGGAAGTGAAAAAAACAAAATGTGGGAGGGAACTAAGGGGATATGTTTGCAAGGGAGAGAGCAAGAAATGAGAAAGCCGGAGGGAAGGGCAGCGAGACAGAGGCTGTCATTCGCTAATTTTTAATTGATCTCTTGATATGTTTTCCACAGAGCTCTTGTCAAATCTTAGGCAAACAAAAACAAAATCTGTTTCCAAGAATTTTTATCCTTTGAATGGACTGTCTTTGACAGATGCAGCAAGATCTAAACATAAAGCTTTCCTTTTTTTTTTCTTTTCCTTTTAACCAAAATATCAGAGGCGCCTGCTTTCAATGGGATACAAAGTATGTTTATTGCAGGCAGAAGTTTCTATTTATTACCCCATCTGTGGAAATGTTACAAAAAAACCCCCCAAAAAACGGAATTCCTCTCAGAAAGAGTATATAATAAGATGGTAAAGAATATAATTGGAATTTTTCATTTCAGAACTTTCCATCATGCTAATTGTAAATAAGTCATCAGTCTTCATTTTTTAAAGGACATCAGAAGAGGCAGAAGTCATATATAGATGACGCGAGGTTTTCATTTATAAAATCTTTAATTACAAGTGTCACGATCTGACACGTTCTAATACCTTTTGCTTGAGTATTCATGCGTCATCTGAGGCTTGTGTTTTCGCTGAAGTGCGGTTAGCACCTATTCAAGAGCAACATTCAGTTGGTTTTTTAATGCTCTCCAGTGAAACTACGTTTGACTACCACATGATAGGTTATTGTTACTATTCCTTCATGAAAACTCATTCCTGGGTATTTGTTGTTTATTCATTCCTTCAAGCTCTTAAGAGCCTTATTTTCTCTTACAATAAACACATTCCAGCTCAGTTGTTACCATTTTCAACGTACAGATTCTGTGCTAACACGTTGGGGCTATAATAGGGGCGGGCGCCTGGGTGGCTCAGTCGGTTGAGCGACCGACTTCAGCTCAGGCCATGATCTCACAGTGTGTGAGTTTGAGCCCCACATCGGGCTTTGTGCTGACAGCTCAGAGCCTGGAGCCTGCTTCAGATTCTCTCTCTCTGCTTCTCCCCCGCTTGTGCTCTCTCTCTCTGTCTGAAACAAATAAGCATTAAAAAACTTAAAAAAGAAAATGTCAGAGAATAGAAAACCAAGTCACGATGTGTAGGTGGTCATGCACTGGCAAAACGTCCACAGCAGCGGCAACAAATGTTAAGTATCACTTCTGGTCATTTGTTGTCTTTTTTTTTTTTTTTTCTCAAAATGAACTTCTGTAGAAAACAATGTATTGCACACTCATTATAAGATCGTCCTTGCAGAGAATAGGGCAGGTGAAGGAACTGTTAACTGCATGGTGAGGCCCAGCATATAAGTACATGAAGTGCCTGGCACAGAGTAGGCACCCAATAAATGCTGTAATTTTAATCTATGAAAATGTTCTTGATTCCATGTGGCAAATGAATTTCTTGGTTCCTCTTTTCAAGTATTTCTCAGTTCCTAGACTGCTGCAAGTATCTTGGCTCGTGTATAAGCCCCTAGGAAGAAGAAATCACTTCGAATTGTATTTCTTTTGGTTCATGCAAAAATATATTCACAGGAAAAGAAAAAATAAATGAATATGCAAATGAGCAACCACTGGCCGTAATGAATGCAAAAACGCTTCCGATCTTTCTGGTAGGTATAAAACAGACGGTCTGAAGGTCGAGAGACACATACGGAAGAGAGGAGAATACCAAGAAAAATGTGAGTTTTGTTAGTCCCTCCACACAACGTACAGCCTAATCAGACCTGACACACTAGGCGTGAAGCGGAATGCAATTCATTTCTGCCATTTTCAGGCCAGATCGCTGTTTGGTCTGCAAATCACACTGAGATGACCCAGAGTGAATGTCCTTCCTCAGCTTCTTGGCTTTCAATACAAGGCATGGTGTTTTACAGGTGTCTGACCTTTGGGGTTTAGGGTGATGCTGCTGCTTCCTCTGAAACAAGATTAACATGAAAAATTTGTGTTTTCAAACAAGAATAATTCCAAAATGAGTACAGAAAAAGATGACTGTGTACCTTTCTTCTTAAAAATGTACATATGTTATGTTCCTACCACAAATAGCTGCCCCCAGGGGGGTTTCAGAATTTGTAGGTAAATATATAAAAGGCAGGATATTGTATACTAATGACTCATACTTTTTTTTTTAAGTTTAGCTGATTGGAAAACATACGTGTCATGATCCTAATCCTGAAATGTTCATAAATTCTCCAGCTCAGTTGTCAGCTTTTCCTGTGTTTTACTTCTCCCTATATCCATCTGTCACGCAGGCCCACGTGACAGGAAGGCCTTCTCCTTCCTGTCCGTGCTACTCACGTTCCCTGCACCCTCCCTGACAAGTGGGGGTCACGGTCATCCCCACACTGCTTCCACGTCTTCTAAGACGCCACCACAGGGAGCTTATCTTCGGCACTTTCTTCCACAGCCTCCTCCTCCTACGTTTCCAGATGAGGAACAGCAGCAAAGGAAAGGCCATTCTGCACTATTTCCCTCAAAGGATGCTAACCGACAGTCTTTTACGCGGCTGATTGGACTACATCTTAAGACCTCGAAAGAAGTTTTACTGAGGATCACGGCACGCTGAAAATAATTTTGCATTTCTTTACTTTTAAGTCACAGCTTTACTGCGGATGTAACTCACGCGCCATAAAATTCGCTCTTTCACGGTGTACCATTCGGCGGTTTCGAGTTCACCCTCAACGCGGCGCGGCCCCCACCACGATGTGGTCCCAGGACATTCTTCTCACCCAGAGAAGCATCTGCACACCAGAGGCTCCCACCCCACCCCGACTCGCACAGCCCCCGGCGACCACGAACCTTTCTGTCTGCTTTCCCAGTTCCAGACAACTCCTCTCGGTGGAATCACACAAAATGTGGGCTGTCTTCTGTGAAAGGGATTCGTTGTCTTCTTTTTTGCTCTTACAGAATCACCTTTTTAATGCCAGCGGTAGATGCTGGTCCTGCGGCCACTGAAACGCCGTATTTGGAGCGGCCGCCTCTGTTGTAAGAAACGTGCATATATTTGGGGGCATTTCTAGTGCTTCTGTTGATGGTTTCTCTTTAATCCATTTCTTATTTGTTCAGATGTAGTTTGCCTTAAAATAGACAGCTTTTCCACACCCTTAGAGGCCTCTTCTTTTCACTTCTATCCAGGACCAGAGATGAAACTCAAAAGCCAACCATCCAATGGGCCCCTTTGATCACGAGCCTTACGGAAGCCGCCAGCTGACTCCTCCTGGAGGCCAGGACCTGCCTCAGCTCCCAGGGCTTGTGACTTTGCCGCGTCCCTCTTGTTCTCCGACAGCCCACCTCGTACCTTTCTGTCCTCTGGCTTCTCATCTTCACTAGTTCCAGACCCTTTCTGCCTACCTGGCTCCGTAGGGCTACCCTGTCCTGCCCCTGCATTCTCGAGACAGCTTTCCGCTAGAGAGGCAGACGCTGCAGGCCTGAAACCCGACCTGGCTGACCCTGACCTCCCCACTGCTCTTACTCCCCTTGTCTCTCAACAGCTGTCTATGCCTTTAGACTCCTCACTTAGAGTTCCCACCGCCACACTGCGTACTAACCACCATTCCGTTTGATCTGCTTTTGTCCAGAATTTAAACACGACACCCAGATGCCCCTCAGCTTGTTTATTTCTTATCCTATTTCAGATGTTTGAACAGATTCATTTAACAATTTTTTTTCTCTGGTATTTCTCAAAAGTTTTATACTGCCTTAAAGTTTTGCTTTCTCAAACGTTATTTCAATTCAGCCCAATATGTATTTTAGCATAAACATTTTGCATGAAAGTATTTCTCATTTCCTATCTTTAAAAAAAAATAGGCCCTCTCAATTTGTCACAATTTTATACCTGCCATTCCCCAGGAGATGTGCCGTGTGCTGGGGACAGAGACAGGTTACAAGTATGTCACTTAAGGCTAGGGCAGAAGTTAGGCAGCTCTGCCGATTTCACTGTGTCTTTGAGTTAAAAGAGCGATGTGGGCAGTACATTCATTGTCCGTTGCTGCCATCACAAATCGTCACAATTTTAAATGCTTAAGATAACATAAACTTATGATCCTACAGTTCTGCAGATCCTAAGTCCAGTATGGGTCTCCCTGAGCAAGCTCAAGGTGTCACAGTGCTGTGTTCCTTTCTCCCGGCTCTCGGGGGTGAAATCTGTCTCCTGCCTCATGTGCCCAGCGAGGAGGGGCAAACAGAATTCCATGTGGTCGCAGGGCTGAACCTCCACTTTTTTGCCCGCTGCCAGCTGGGGCTGGTCTCTCCATGGCCGTGCACGTGGCCCAGCACAGCTCATAATCAGCAACAGGGCATCAAACTCTTCTCAAACTGCCATGTCTCTGACCATTCCTCCGTGGTCACATCTCTCGGACAACAGCAGGGAAGCCTCTCCATGTTCAGGGTCTCTTGATTCAATTGTACCCGGGGGGATTATTCAGTATGATCCCTGCATCTCAGGTCTATAACTTTAAGGTCCTATTGCCATGTAAGGTCGCATATTCATAGGGTTCAGAGATTAGAGGGTGGATACCCTTGGTGGGGGGGCTGTGCTAGCCCTGGCACACAGGAAAGTGTTTACTGCAATGTGAGGAAGGAAACTGGTGTAGAATATTGTCAGGTCCTTGAGGGCAGGACTGCATTTGCCTTGTTTCCTGCTCTATCCTCTGCCCTAGTCTTCTCTCTGGCTCTTATGGGCTTGGAGTAAGTATTTAATAAGGAGGTGAAAGGACCAAGTTATGACCGTGTCTTTTTCAGACAATGTCTAGCAGGTGCCCAATAAGCGAGATGTAGGAGACAGGACAGAGCATCTGAAGTGCAGCAGAGTCTGAACCGTGAGGCATGGGGATGGCAGCAGCTGACACGAGGGAGTCACAGCCGTCTGGGTGATTAGATGACACAGACGATCATAGGAGAGAAATGACATTTGCAGAAAAACACGTCTAGAGGAAGTAAGGAAAGTGGACTGAGTTGGTGGAGGGAGGGGAAGGAGGAAGTGGTTGAGAGTAAGATCTGGGAGATCTTTAGGTGACCGCGTGGAGACAATGTGATCGGATGCACCAGGCTGATGAAAATCAAATATATTTCCAGGTTTCTAGTCCCCTGGATGTTTTCTTCTGACTCCCCATGGGTGGTCGAATTCCCTAAGCTGTTCTACAACATCTGATCCTTGTTGGTCTTAATGTTCCCTGTTGCTTTCCAAATTATAGATGGTTTCCGCTCATGCAGAACTATCGAACTCTTGGAAATTTCCTGCCTGCCTTGTGTGCTAGACTGACCCCAGGCCACGCCCCACGGAGCCTCCAGCCTTGCTGCTGTCACTGGTCCACGGCCCGAGGGACCTACCTGGCCCAGCGGAGAAGCGGACGCACCTCTGTGGGCCGTGCAGTGTGCTTGTATCTAAACAAGCCTAGTGTAACCTTCTCCACCCGAGGCAGAGGTCTGGGTACCCGGAAGGTACTGGGAAAATGAGCAGGCGAGTGAGTGAAGTGATAGGTGCATTTCTCGCAGGTGTGACGCCGTTAGGGCAGTGGGACAGGCCTGCCCGGCTTCCTCCTGCCAGGTTCATGCCGCAGTGAACTTGCACTTCTTTGACCACTGGAGACTGTGCAACAGGTACCAAGATTGTCCCCCTGACCTTTTCTCTCCAATTCAGAGGTACACGAGGGGCGTGTCCCAGTGATTCCTCCTCACTTCCAGCCAGGGTGAAAGTGTGGGTTTCATTTCGTTTTTCTGTCAGAAGGGGCTTTGGGCCCAGACCCCCACCCACTGCTGAGGGTCTCTCTCCGCCCCCCCCCACCACCACGTCTTTTCAAATGACACCCACCCATTCAGCACTTACCCACTTACTGGAAGTTTCCTTTGGCTGTTTTGCTATAATCATATAAATGAATAGAATCCTTCTAGGTAATCAGTCTGTCAATTTCAAAATGACATGGCTGTATTCCAAACTAAATTCTAAACTGCAATTTCCTGCTTCAGTTCTATATCCTACTTATATTACACCTGCTTATGGCTGCCAATTAGATTCATGAAACTATACAGTTCCTGGTTTTTTACAAATATTCTGAGCCTTAAGTTGGAAGGCAGGTATAGACAAAGGAGTAGAAACGGGTGATTTTTATTTTCTTTTAATAACACTAATGAGGGGCCCCTGGGTGGCTCCGTCAGTTAAGCTTTTGACTCTTCATTCTGGCTCAGGTAATGATCCCAGGGTCATGGGATTGAACACTGCATCGGGCTCTATGCTGACGGTGTGGAGCCTACTTGGGATTCTCGTTCCTTCCTTCTGCCCCTCCCTCCCTACTCTCAAAATAATAATAGTAATAATGATGATGATGATGATGATGATGAGTGGAATCTGGACTCAGTGACTGTATGCAAAAGTATAATTCCTTTTTTCTCACTACAGATAGTTGGTAGAGACTCATTTATTTCCTCCATAAATCTGGGGTGTACCCTTGCGATATACATATGTAAACCATGATTGAACATGGGTTTTATCAACACGCTGATACGTGAACAAAAGTATTCAAGCACGGTGAGGGGCCTCATTATTCCTTTTGACTAAATAACACATATATTAGAAAAAGAGAAATCATCATCACAGTCGGCACATTTTGACGAGAGATCAATGTGTGTTTTGAATGAGCCCCCCACCTCATCTTGCTTCCAGAGAAGCTGAGACAAACATGTCTCCACATTATTAGCCATTTAGGAAAACCACAGTCCTGCTTGAGACTCGTTCCCGGAAGGAAGGTGACAGTCTGTTAGACATTTGGAAAAATAAGCTTTTTTTTTTTTTTTTTTTTTTTAACCCTTACAAAATAGATCTAGGAGTGTACCACTTACAGATATTCCTTAAAAAAAACTGTGTGCCCAAGATATTCTTAGATTTCTATTTTCAGGGTGTTTCCAGGAAGTAAAACCCAACAACCTTCTTCTGATAGGGAATGTGTCTGCTTCCTAATCAGAGAAAGAGAGAGAAAGAGAAGATGCCAAGCGTGAACTGGAGCGGTCTCTGAGTGGCTCAGAGGATGTGATGGGAGACCTTTCTGGGAGGAACAACAAAGACGGGAGAGAAGGAGGGAGGCTCAAGGAGAATCACAAATGAGACAGCACTCTGAATTATTCTTGGCTTTGTGTACACAACAGAACAGCTGGGCAGCAGGCAGGTGACTTGCGAGAGAGCGCACAGACATCCCGCTTTGCTCCAGACAGTCCTGCCTTACAAGTGCCACCCAGCACCCTCCCCAGGCCACCCTTCCCTCCTTCTCTTTCAAGGGTGACCCAATATGCGTAATAAATGGCGCACTGATCGTACAAAATGGTGCTGAAAAAAACATAAGACGCAATCCCTTTAAAGCCCATAGCTCTGCTCATCGCTATTTGTTCTTTACTCTCAGACTTAAAGGCTGAGGGGAAAGAAATTATTTTCTTTTTTAATTTTTTTTTCAACGTTTATTTATTTTTGGGACAGAGAGAGACAGAGCATGAACAGGGGAGGGTCAGAGAGAGAGGGAGACACAGAATCGGGAACAGGCTCCAGGCTCTGAGCCATCAGCCCAGAGCCCGACGTGGGGCTCGAACTCACGGACCGCGAGATCGTGACCTGGCTGAAGTCGGACGCCCAACCGACTGCGCCACCCAGGTGCCCCAGAAATTATTTTCTAAAAGAACTCAGCTCACTTTTATCTCCCGACCCTGGGATGCCCCGCACTTCGCCATTCTGACAGAGGAGCTGGATTTGTTTTCATCCTACTCTGACACAGGTTTTAAACATCTTGTTTCACTGTGTTGTCTGCTAAGGGATTTTTCTTTACCTGTATACCTGGATATGAGTGGAGTGGACCTCATTTGAGTGCTGTTCTCCTTTTTACATAAACTGGGTCAGAAATAAACAAAAGAGCTGGTCAATAAGAATCAATAATGTGTAAGAGAAAGAAAAGAGCTAGAGACGGCGAATCCTAATTAAAAAAAAATTCCTAGGTTTGGAATTGAACAGATCTTTATTCAAATCTTGCCTCTGCTAACATTAACTCAATAATTCGGGCAAAACTTCAGTTCCCTTATAGGCTTAAAATAATAAAAGTAATTCTTCCCTCACAGAGCTGTTATGAGAAATAAAGAGGAGCAAGGAGGAGCTCACTAAATTCATGGTCTCCAGAGATAAATCTTTGTCTGTTTTGTGTACGAGGCATGTTCTCTATTTAATCCAATGCAAATTCAAAGCCCTCTTTCATTCTATGATACGGAACACGGCGCTGGAGAAGATGGAGTGGTTATCCCAAACTGAAGGACTCTTCTCTCTTGTTCTTTCTGCATTAAGTATTTTTTAATGTTTATTTATTTTTGGGAGAGAGAGTGAGAGTGAGAGTGAGAGAGAGAGATG